TCATCTTGTCTTAACTATTCTCCAACAACTTGCCAGAAACAAATCTTTAGAGAAAAGACTTATCACTGTGATTGATTTTCACATCCTTTCGGATAGATGATTAAAAGTGATAGAAATTAAAGTTTTTAGCGTTATATAAGCAAATTCGAACCATTTTTTTAATATTTGTTTCTTGATTTAAAATCTAACAAAGATATTTTTGATACGAAAATAAGTAAAATGTTCGATGATCTCACAAGCAAAGAAAACACGAGATACGAAAAGTAGAAAAACAAATTATTTCAAGAAACAGTCAATTGCAAATACTTATCCGCCACACTAACTAATCATGTGTCAAATACTTAACCTTGAATAAGGAGTCAATATTAGCTCCTCGGACACTAACAAGACTACTTAATTGTAGAGCTGTCCATATGGGTTGACCCACCCTATCTGGGCTAATCCATATAGACTTTGAAAATTTACGGGTCAAGTTGGGTTAGCCCATATTTGGTGTGGGTGAGAAAATAATTGGCTCAACCCACAAGTACGTGGGATGGCCGGATCGGCCCTCTTTTCTTTGAAATATTTCCTTTATAATTTTTTTAAATTAAATTATAGTTTAAAAATATTATCATAAATATCGATAAGACAATATTACATGGTGTTAGTGTTAGTGATTGTTAACTAAATCCACAAATAACATTATCTTTATAATATTTATTATGTTTGATTTCAAATAAAAGTATAAATAACTAAATAGAAATATTAACCTAATTGTTTTTCAATAATCATAATAAAACACAAAAATTATGACAATATTCCATAGGTTACGACCTATTTATTGATTCCCTAGAAATTTTAGGTAGCTTTTGTTTTATGTAGTACATATGTTATTATAAACATAATTTCCATTTAAATTGTAATATCCCGAACTTTAAACAGATTTTGAGTTTAAACTCTTGTTATTTTTTTATTCTCTATTTGATTTTTAATTTTAACTAGTATTTATTTGGTCCATGAGATGACCCTATTTATATTTTTCAAGCCCCACAAATTCACAAACTTATTCAGGCTGGGCTAAAAAACTTTTTATCTTAAATGAACTCCGAAAATCATAGTTCACCCTTAATAAATAACGAGTTAGGTCAGGCCGACCCAATGGACCTAGCCCATATTGACGGCTTTACTTAATTGACTATCTCTAATCCAATTAAAAGCATTAAGAACACATGGATATAGCTATAGAAGTAATTCTTCATTTTTAGCTCAAATGGCCAAAATATTCTTATTTTGAGAAACACTTTTATTAAAATCAGTTTTTAGAAAAATAATAATTTATGTTTAGCTAATTATTTGAAAAGTATTTTTAAGCACTTTGAGAAGAGATTGTGTCCAAATTCCTCATGTTCTTAGCCCCTGGAAATAAAGAAAATGGTGTGAGGTTATTATATGATTGAATAGAGGGTACATATAGAGTTCAACGAAAATTTTGTTAAATATGAGATTGATAGTTAATAATGACCCCATATTAAAAGAGGTTGACAAGAAGGTAGTTTTGGTGATACATATATCCAGAGTTTGAATTTAATTTCTCTTCTTCTTTCTTCTTTTGATTTTTCAATTTTTTTCATTCAAGTAGTAAATCCTGTTCTAAGTTTTATATAAAATTTTTGTTATCAATAAAAAATTGAAAGCTGTTAGCCCGTTGAGGTTTTATTCATAACTTATGTCCTCTTACAAAGTACAAAGTTTCATAATTACAAATATTAATACAAAGTTACAATATAGTATGAAAAAAAATTAGTTTGACCCATTAAACATGACTAACCCCTTAAGAGTCAAGGGTTGGGCTAACTAGTATTTTCTCTTAAAACTTCAACCCCTAAATCAGACCTAAAGGTAAATCAATCTGACTTAGAATCGGAACGGTTAAGACTGACCTTTATGAGGCAAGATATGTGCTAGCTAGTATTTTTTGAAGGCCTTACGTAATTAAGCATATTTCTATATTTTATATGTAATATTTTCTTGTTAATTTACATTACATAACTTTATTGACAAATCAACAAGTTTCCACCTAAAAAATTGTTAATGGATTCGATGACCATTTATCACATACTCATATTATGAGTTGCATCTCAATAAAATATTGTTGAATCATTAACAAGCTTTACATGTAAAGAGAGAATCAATGAATTACCTCTTCCTTTTATTTTCTTTTCCTTTTAAGTATAAATCAAAATTAACACACACAATTACTAATTTTTCTTGATTTCAAATTCACTAAATCTAATTACTTCATATATGGTAAAATCATAGATGTGTACAAGCCCCTTACTTGGAGATACATTAAGTGAGAAAGTTTGACTTTACATATGGGATTGTTTGGGGGAAAACTTTAAATGGAGGACTAGAATAGATAAAGAGGAAAATACATATGGTATTGTTTGGCAATCAAAATGAAATGACAATATTGTCCATTACATACATATATACAATACCTCATTAACTCTAGGTTTTATCAATTTGAAAATCTGTCTTGGATCCATCGCCTCTCATCTTAAGGGTAAAACTGGTAAAAATGTTCCTCATACCTCATTGAACATATCTATATTGTCTCTTGAAATATAACGGACAATTAGAAAATTGGAGGCCCAAATTTGTCCTTATGTTCTTCTAAACTAAATTTTATTTGACTAAAAAATTGTCTTTATTACTTCAATTGTTGTCTTGCCAACTAAGTACACTTCAAGGGAACAATACATTTGTAATAAAATCCTACTACTAGTTTTATATGTCTTCTTCAGAAAATTGATACACTCTAGAGAGGAGAAAAGTGGAAGAAAAAATATGAGTAGCTCTGCTTCATCACCTTTTGAAACAAATGAGAAGGTACATACATATATATATGTGTGTAGTATTAGTAATTTTCAATTATTATTTCTTTGGTTTAATTCATTCAAAATTGATTGTTTATTTCTGTGTGAGATCTAATTCTTACCATTTTGTTTATGCATTTGTATCTCAAAAAGGAAATAGAAAATTATTTTTTCCTTTGATTGTTGATAAAATTTCATGAGGCTGCCTATATGTTTGATAACCTCTTAATTAATTTTGTATAAAAGAGGGCGAATTTTCAAGAAATTTAATTTAGATCTACTATATGAAGTTGTGCTATGATTTTATTCTTATAAAACTAATAGATGATAATATATTGGAAAATTTTCCATACTAATTTTATGAGAGAATTACATTTTACTGTTATTTAAGATTTATTTCAATAACAAAATTTCTAATCAGTCAAGAATTTCTACTAATTAGAGCGTATAATTGAGTGATGTAATAGTTAAATATTTCAATAAGCCTATTATAAATATACTTGGTAGGAGATCCATTGTGGTCAAGGGTACTCCTCTATCTTAAGTGTATTTTGAGCTTGAAAGAACTTACTTCGAATGAAGAAACTTAAATTATTAGTTCCTTATATTTTGATTGACAAATTTATTAGACCTATTTTTAAATTACCCCTATTCCTATTAGGGAGGTGAGGCAATAAAAGATTTGATGAACTGTCCAAATTTCTGATATCAAATAAAAGCTTACTCAAGTCTCATAGTCATTAATTAATTTAGTACTTCCATATGAATGACTAAATAAAAAGAATCAAGCTCACACGTCATAAAAAATTTGTTTGAGTCTTATAATCATTAATTTATTCAGCCAATGTCACCTCTTTCAAGTTTTGTGAGGTGAGTGACCCTAGCTCTACACAACTTTCCTTCCTTCTATAATTGGTGTGCATCATTAAGGTTGTGATCATACAGATGAAATTTCATAATTCCTAACCAATATCTCATATGAACCTTGTAAATGGAGAAAGATTGTTAAGGAAATTTTCCCCTCTATGGAATCTATGTGTCCAAATCTAAATTAGTGTGTTTTGAATGTACCTAATGTCACACTAAAAAACGGTCTGTCACAAAAGCTATAGGTGATGTGGTTTCTCTCTGTGATGGAAAGATAACAGATAGGGTTTAAACAAATTCCATGAGTAATAGGATCACTCGATGTGCAAGATAAGATGAAATATCTCATGCTTAAGTTTGAGATTATTTTGAAAGTAGTTTATTCCAAATTCTATATTGGATAAATTAGTTTAAGAATTATAATCAAAATTATATTCTCGAGATAATTTAGTCTGCATATTAAAGGATCTTATTAAGTCGCACAAACAACATACTATCGAGAAAGTGGACCAAAAATAGATATATGATTTGGTTCATGTTTTTTGTTCTTTAATAATCATTGAGATGGATAATGTCATCAACTCAGAATTTTATGAAAGTGTTTCTCTTTTCTGTTACACTAGAAGTTTATCATCAATCAATAGTATCTTACGAAAATCTTAATATACATTTTTTTTATTATAGATAAAATGTAGGTAGATGTTCTTAGAACTTCAACTAGAAAGAAGTGAAGTCTTTGTTTCTCCTAAAACTTAAACTCTAAACTAGCTAAGTCCCATCAATTGATTGGATTTGGTTCATTCCTAAACAAACAAATTTTTAAGTCCTTAAAGTTCATTAATCTTCATTAAACAATTGTTAGATGAGACGCTTGATAGATACTTAGCTTGATAAATATGTTATTTTATTCATAGTTCTTTTGATATGTGTATGTTTGATGATAATATCGTTTCAAGTAAAATTTACTATTCAAAATAATGAGAAAGACTGTTCAAGAGATAATTTGCTTAATAAATATTTTTTATGTTCTTCATAATTATTTTTGATATATGTATATTTGATGATGATATCGTTCAAGTAAATTACTGTTCAAATAATGAGAAAGACTGTTTCAAAAGATAATTAGCTTGATAGGTAATTTTTATTTTCTTGTACTATGTATTTTTTATGATAATATTACTTTACTATATTTTAAAAAGTGAGAAAAACCTTTTGCAATTCAAGCAGATCACTTGGAAATATCATAATCTGTTATTGTAATGGATTTTGCAGGGGGAATTGAAACCTGGAAGGAGTATGCCAACATGGCTAGGACCACTTTTGAAGAAGACTTTCTTTGGGGAATGTTTGGTGCATGATGGACTTCAAAAGAATGAAAGGAGCAAGTACTGTATTACATGTGATTCTGATTTATGCAGGTATTGCATCTCTACAAACAAACACAATGATCATGACCAGCTAAAGATTTATCGACATGTTTACAAAGACGTTGTTCCTCTCGAGCAGATGAAGAAGTATATTGACTGCAAACTAATTCAGGTAAATTTAAATTGATATAGACAGTTACAACTAGAAATGAAAGAAGATTACATATATTGGTTATGAATTGATGCTCCGGACATTAATTTATTTAAATATTTGAATGATAATTAAATATAAGTTAATGAGATCTTAATCAGTTGTTATTATTTTGGATGTTGTTGTAAAATTTTTTTTTATTAATATAAAAGTTGAGATTTTTAATTCAAAGTTGAAAATATTTATGACAAAAGCAAATAGTTTTTTATACATACATACATGCATAAAATTTGTACTTTTTATTATAATCATCTTTTTAAAGTGATAATAAATTTGTAAAACGATAACTAATTTTTTGGGAGCCTTTTGTCTAAAAGCAAGTGTTTTACTAGCTCTTTTCTTGAGCCATCTCTATTTGGATCCACTAATTAAGTCATATTGTGTTTGGAATTGAGCTTGAACAAAATGACTAAAGTTTAATCTTTTTCTCTTAGAACTTAAGATCCATATGGTTGATTTTCTTGAGTTTGCTTGAAGTTCATGTACTTATAGATGAAGTTCAACTATTTTTTGTTGAACTGAAGTCATATATAAATTCAGACATTTTTATTTCACACATGTATATATAGTCTTACAACAAAGATTTATTGTTTTCTTTTTTACATAATTAACATCTATATGTTAGTGATGAGATATATATAATTTTCTATGTGCAGACATACAAATGCAACAAGAAATGGATAATTGCCTTGAATCCTCTGCCACATTCTGGGTCTGGCTCTTTAATTGCTGGAGATCCTACTTGTCTCACTTGCAAAAGGAGATTGCATGACCCTGAACGGTTTCAATTCTGTAGCATTGCTTGCCAGGTACTTTTCTCTCCCTCCGTTTCAAATTTAGTGGTTGTTTGGCGATGATTTTTATTTTATTATTTAGTATTTTTTTGAAATTGAATTCGGGAAACTATGCTTGATTAAAAACAGTCTCTTTACTTTTACGAGGTAGTGTGTAAGGTTGAGTACATTCTACTCTCTCTAGGCCTTAGTTGTTAAATTTCACTAGATATGTTATTGTTGTTTTTGTATAATCCTAAATAGAATGTGAAAATTGAAAAAGCGTACTCCCTCTCTCATAATTTATGTGATATTATTTGAATTGACATGAATTTTAAGAAAGAAAGAAAGACTTAAAATGTTTGGTCCAAAATCTCTCATTAAAGCTAAAGTGAGTATTTTAAAGCCAAATTATAAGTAAAGATATAACTGTACTAAATGTTATGAATCAATCTCAGTCCAACATGGAACATAACATCACATAATAAGGTATTAGGTAAACAAGAAGTAATAAGATCAAAATACCTTCACAAAGGTTGAATTGAGATCCATACCCAAATAGCAACTAGTAAAAAGGAAGAGAAGTTGGAAAGATAGATTAGAATTATTGTTGTATGAAAGTCTAGTTCTACCCAAATCTCTAGAGTGTGTTTGGTATGAATGAAAATAATTTTTGGAAAATATTTTTCAACTTTCTCATTTTTGGTTGAGACAAAAGTATTGGAAAATGTTTTCTAAATCAACTCATTTTCTTGAAAATTAAGGAAAATGACTTCCCTTTAAAAATTAAGGAAAACATTTTCCAAAACTCTTCTCCAACTTCAAATTACATATTTTTTGGCAAAAAAAATCAATTTTAAAAATATTTTCAATTTCAAAATAAATATTTTTCACC